GAAGAATGATAATGGTAATAGTGAAAATAATGGAGAAAATGGTGATGGAAATAAGATAATAAATATAATAATTGTGATAAAAAATAATAATGAAAATTTTTGATTACGTGTTTTGTGATTTTTGATGAAGACGATGAAGAGGAAAATGGGGAAGAGGAGGAAGGAAAAAGGGGGTAGGAAAAGAGAGAAGAAAAAATGATAAAAAGACGAGAGAATGAAAGGAGTTCACAGGAAGGAGGAAGAGAATAAGATGAAGAAGAAAAAGAAAGGAAAAGAAGTCGAGGAAAAGGAAAAAAAAAGACATAATAAAAAGGAGTCGAAAACGAGGGAAGAGATAAAAGAGACGAACAGAGAGAATAATAATAAGAAAAAGAAAAATGACATTAACGATAATAACAAAAACATGAAAACATAAAAGCTTTTTATATATCAGGACACGCGAAAAAAAAAAGAATAAAAAATAAAGGGATATATCTTGCGACCTATAGCTAACCTTATTATCATTTTTTCAAACTTCCTCAAACTGGCAAAGAACAAAGTTTTCATCTGCCTCAGTAAATCAACGAGAATATCACAAGTATAACGTGAGAGAGAGAGAGAGAGAGAGAGAGAGAGAGGGAGAGAGAGAGAGAGAGAGAGAGAGAGAGAGAGAGAGAGAGAGAGAGAGAGAGAGAGAGAGAGAGAGAGAGAGAGAGAGAGAGAAGGAGAGTGAAAGAGAAGGAGAAAGAAAGAGAAAGAGAGAGAGAGAGAGAGAGAGAGAGAGAGAGAGAGAGAGAGAGAGAGAGAGAGAGAGAGAGAGAGAGAGAGAGAGAGAGAGAGAGAGAGAGAGAGAGCGGAAAGAGCAGATAAAGAGGAATGAAAAGAGAAAAAGCGCCAGAACACTATATAGCCAACAGACACTCATCAATAAACAAAAACAACAATAAAAAATAAAGTCAACAAATCACTGAATGCCCGAACGAGCTCCCAAATCCTTGATAACAACGAGATAGGAAAGGAATCGAATGCTTTTCTCTCGGACACGAAACGGACCGCGCTTTTAAAATATGGATACATTCAATCACACAAGTTTAAGGCGGAAATGGAAAGAGCGAGTCTACATCTATCTGTCTGTCTGCCTGTTTCCCTATCTCTTTTTTTCTATTTTTCTTTCTCTTTGTTTGCCTCTCTTTGTTTGTCTGTCTGTTTCTGTCTGTCTGTTTCTGTTTCTCTCTCTCTCTCTCTCTCTCTCTCTCTCTCTCTCTCTCTCTCTCTCTCTCTCTCTCTCTCTCTCTCTCTCTCTCTCTCTCTCTATATATATATATATATATATATTTATCCAACCTCTCTCTATCTCCGTTTCTATCCATCTGTCTGTCTGTCTGTCTGTCTCTGTCTGTCTGTCTGTCTGTCTGTCTGTCTGTTTCTCTCTCTCTCTCTCTCTCTCTCTCTCTCTCTCTCTCTCTCTCTCTCTCTCTCTCTCTCTCTCTCTCTCTTTCTCTCTCATTCTCCCTCCCCCCTCACCCTCTCTCTCTGTCTCTGTCTCTCTGTCTCTGTCTGTCTGTCTGTCTGTCTGTATGTCTGTCTGTCTGTCTGTCTGTCTCTCTCTCTCTCTCTCTCTCTCTCTCTCTCATCCTCCCTCCCTTCCTCTCTTTCTCTATCTATCTCTCTCTCTCCTCTTCCAGGCTTCTTTTCCTCTATTCACCAGGCATCCTCAGAAGCAAACTTCACCAAAGGGGGTCAAAAGTTGAGAGGCGAAGTTGCTCCAGCTTTGTTAAGTTGTGCTGGAGACGCCCAAGAGGTCCGTAAAAACAAAGAAAGCGTTGACCTTCCCTTTGTACCTGTTCGCAGACACTAGGGAGGGAAGAGCTGTGTGTGTGTGTGTGTGTGTGTGTGTGTGTGGGTGTGTGTGCGCGCGTGGGTAGTGGGCACAATGCTTTCTGTCTCATTGTCTCGCCTGTGTCCAAAATAAACTACTTTTGTGTCTTTTGTTGTTTTTTGTTGTTGTTGTTGTTGTTGTTTCTGCTCCTTGCGAAGTGCGTCTTGTTCTCCTCGAAATAGAACGAGGCAGGTGCCCATGAGGATTTACGTACATGTGTTGAGGAGAAAGCGTTTCCTTGTAATTCTGGAAAGCTTGTGAATTGTTGTCGTGGAAAAGGTGCAAGGAAACGATTGCAAAAGAGGAAGGACATGTTGTAATGTTGCAAAGTGATGAAAAATAAATGAAAGAATAAACAGAAATAATGGAGGATGATCATAAGAATGATAATGATATCGAGAGAAAGAGAGCGAGAGAGAGAGAGAGAGAGAGAGAGAGAGAGAGAGAGAGAGAGAGAGAGAGAGAGAGAGAGAGAGAGAGAGAGAGAAGAGAGAGAGAGAGAGAGAGAGAGAGAGAGAGTGAGAGAGAGAAAGAAAGAGAGAGAGAGAGAGAGAGAGAGAGAGAGAGAGAGAGAGAGAGAGAGAGAGAGAGAGAGAGAGAGAGAGAGAGAGAGAGAGAGAGAGATGAAAGAAAAGAGAGAGAGAGAGAGAGAGAGAGAGAGAGATAAAGAAAATAAAAGAAACAGAATTCAGTTACAAAGCTCGAACCTGGATCTCAATGCCACTCGCCTTTAACGAGACTGCTATCATATTTCTTGTCATTTCCACCTCGTATTACCTGAAGGTTGTT